TTTCCACAGTGCCGTGTCCTCCAAGAAAACTTCAGGTGTGATTTCCTTGAGATCGCCGTTGTTTACTCTAGGAGGAACCGCGGTTAACCTAGCCGGCCACTTCTCCACCTTCCCTCCAGCCACCTTCTTTAGATCCTCAGCCTCATCAACTTCAGGTAATGGCGTCAAACAAGAATCCATCTTCGTATACCTGAATTGTTCATTATTAATTTATAGCCAAACTTTTAACATTTTTTCTATGTTATAGTATTAAGATAAAGAAACAAAATTAAACTTACCAAGCCATGTCAGGATCTTGATCAAAGCGACAAAACTCCGGATTCTTCAAAACCTGTCTCATTTTCTTACAGTGAATGTGGTTAAATGGCTTTTGCCAGATAGCTAAATCATCTTTCTGAACAACTTTCTTCCAACACAAGCTTCTCGCGACCTGTTCAATCTGAGTCTGCTCTTCATTTAAATCATCCATCGTCCTTTCCCATCCTTTCCAACGTTTCTGCCAATTAATCGGCGGTCCAGACAGTATCCAGTACCCTCCTGGTCTTAAAACCCTGTCAACCTCCATCAAGTAAACCCCATCTGCAAAATAACACAAAGTGTTAAAAGACCTCAACATGCGTAGTTTTGTAATTGTTTAGGGTTTAGTGGTCGTCGAACCGTTTTTCCCCCAAGGGATAAGGCAACGAGAGCAATGCGCTAAGTCAAAGGCTCTAGAAGGGTATGGTAAGCGGATTGTGGCCATGATTCCGATCATAGCCGGCACACCACGCTCGAGTGCAAACTGAACTTGAGCTTCATGTGTATCCCTTGGAGCAAACGACATCGTTGTGATGTTTCTTGATAAAAGATATGCACCAAAGCTAGCCACCTGAAAAAAAAAATCCAAAAAAAAAATATTTTCGATTAATACCAAAGTTAAATCAAAATGAGGACATAAACAACATTTATATTTCATGATTTTGACTTTTTATTTTATTTATTATAACTACTGGTTTAATTTTTCAACTTTACAGGTTTAACTGTAAGGAACGGGTGGGTCAGCAGTCACAATCAAAAACCAAAAACGTTGAAAATAGCTTGATGTTCATATTTCTATTTTATAGCTAAAAAAATGATGATGCACAAACTCCAAATTTAATTAAAAGTTCAAATACTACCAAATATGTTTAAAATTAGACGTCATTAGATATGGATATGCTCGAAACAATCTTATCAGTTTAAGTTGGATGTATTCTTGAACTGCTTGTATGAAATATTCCAACAGACTATTCGATATTTCTGTGGAAAAATCTTCTTTTCTTTTGAAGTATTTGAATAAAACAAATGATCAGTAACCGTATTAGAGTCAACTAAATTAATAAAAAAGCCAAAATTATAGTCAAACCGGTCGGTTCGGTTTATTCAAAGGGAAAAGAATTTTGCACGTACCCCACAACCGGTATCGATAGCGGTCCGAATCGAACCATCGCTGAGATTAATCAACCGTCCGATATCATCAATATACGCATCAGCGCCACGTGGAAACATCGTACCGCCACCAGGAAACCAAAACCGATCATTCTCGTACCGAACCCAGTTCTGATTCTTTTTCTCAACCGTAAGCTCCGTGTGAGGAACATTCGCGAACCACGCCACGTCACGGCTCTCCGGCCACCGGAACGGCGTCTTGTAACCGTACGGCGCCGGGATACGGCACGTCAGGGCTTCCTCTCTGTCGGGACAGTGTCTTTGCCTGTACTCGAGCCTCTCCCGAGAGAACTTCAGCGATCGCTTGGCGTCTTCGCACGGCGTGTGCTCGCTCAGTTTAGCGTCGCACGGCGGGAAAGTCACGGCGGTTTCCTTCACCGGAGGAGGATCATGAGGGTTGTGGTGCGCGGTGAAGTCGAGATCTGACGTGGAAGTGGTTTTGGTGACTTTCTCGCACGGTGCGTCGGTTGATGTGTCGAAGGCGGCGCGTGGATTCACCGTAGTGTTTTGCCACACGCCGAGAAGGTAGCTACCGATGCAGAGGAGCGCAACTAGGGTTACGTAATAAAGATTGGACTTCTTATCCCTCGATGATATTCTTGTGAATAAATTCATCTCCTCTAAAAGTTTAGAAAACCTAGTTGAGATATTTATAAGTGCGTGTTGTGTGTATATAAATACACAACACGACGATGAGAGTCGAAATGAATGTGTGACGAGAGAGTTTTTTTCAAGGGTTGATATGAAGTAGTTCGAGGGGGGTGTAATATAAGGGATGAGACCAAAGGGAGAGTGTGAGAAACGCGCTTGAAAGTCAACGGGTCAATGTATCGTTCGTGAGAGATTAGGCTAAAAACGTGCGAGCTAGTCATAGACAACAATGGCGAATTATTTTCCCAAATTTTTCATTAATCAAATTATTATTACTTTTGTTTTGGAAAATTATGGATTTGCGTATATTCATGCAGTTGTATTATTAGCAATGTATCTTTTGACATTTGGAAATAGTTTTTAATGTTTTCTCAATCGACATATGTTATGTTATCTTTACCATTTCCTTAAGATGGAATTGATTGGAGCGCGTGAAGTTGGTACATAGGTGGGGTCTGTTTGGGTACTTTGGATGCAAAGAGACGCAATCCCTTTTCCACTTTATTCCGGTAACAAACAAATTTCAATCCCGGTTTAACCGGAAAATCACATATACCCATGGTGAAGGCTAAACCGAGATTCTCACTTTAAGGGATGGTTTAAGCTTTTTGGGGGACCAGAGGGGTGAAACCTTGCGGGGATATGAAGAAAGCCCAAAGAAGCAAATTAAGTTTTGTTCAGCATTGGAATCTCAAACCGCAGTGAGAGTAATAGTATGGTTTGCATTTGAGGTTAAATACTGGTTTAGATGAAATGGTTATTTTTATAGTCATGGGAGAGCGATCTTTCCACGATGCATGGATGCATCATGCAACCCATTATACAAACTTAAAGCTTGTGCCTCAAGAAACCAATGCATAAAACATTTTTTAATCATAATTAATCACCATTCATGCAGATAAGTATTTATACAAGGACTAATAACAGCAGCAAATTACTCAAACAGACCAACATAAACTTTCTCCTGAACGCCAGCTTTCTTCCATAAGCTTCAAGGTGCTTTGATCTTGGGTCGTGTCGGAAGCAACTGTGTTTATTGAGAGACACGTAAAGATCAGAACTAGAAAAGTGTGTTTGTTGTGGAGAACGAAGAAGATAAAGTGTTGTGTTATACCTGGTAGCAAGAAATGAGAGAGGTGATGAATCCAAAAGCTCCGGTGACACGAGGGGTGATCTTCTTTGGATCTAACTGAAGAAGACCAGCTGCTACAACAATGTCCATGGCTGATTTGATCAAAGCAAGACTCCTCTCGTTAGACTCTTTAAGCTTAGCACGATACTTCTCATCCTGCAATCTCACACAATTGACAAAACATGAATTGCTTCCCATTTTTCCAAAAAAAAAAAGACAAAACATGAATAATTGAGTTGTTATAATATAAGATTTCCAAGAAACAGAAGTGTGACAAAACATTACATGATACTTGTTGCTATGCTTAAGTCCCTTTTCGATCTTCTTCATGGATAAAGAGAGCCTTCCAATCTCACCAATCTAATAACATATAATTAGCATTTAATAACGTAACAAATGGAACCATCCATTAGGAAGCAAATAAAAAGACGGACCTCGACTAAAGTTGTACAGACAGATGATCCCATCCAGCAGAAAAGTGATATACGTCCAAGTAACTCAGCTCTCTCTTTGTTCTGTGATGTAGTTAAAAAATAAGAAAAGTAGTCACAAACAACTAAACTAGTGGTGCACAGCACAGGTCTGGTTTCTCTCTCACCTTATATATTCCTGATCTCCCAAGCCAAACAATTTGATCCAGGAACAAGAATGTAGACAAGAGGGCGTTCTTTGACTGAATAACAACAAACACCAAAAAACCAAAGATTGATTTAGAACAAAGATATATATGATGAAACAAGAGGACTAAGAACTCTTTGGTTCTTGAAATCCAGTTTGTCTGAACAGTTCACTTAATAGGTTTTGTCTGAATAACAAAAAGAACTATGAAGCACCTTTCCAAGTAGAACGAGAGGAAGTGGAGTCCCTTTAGGCACAGGACTGATAAGACCATGCAGATCATTAACAAACTGCAACAATAATTAAAAAAAAAAAACATATATGAGAGTTCTAACAGAGAGCGAGTTACAAAATCAAAAGAAAAGACAAAAAAAAAGAAGAAGAAGAGATTATTAACCTTGAAAAGACGAAAGACTTTCCTAGCTAAGCTAGTGGATTTTTCAACGTTTTGAGCAGTACCAGGTTGTCCACCGCTCAAGAACTTGGAACCATACTGTATAGTTCTGCATAACTTATCCCTCGCCTCTGCTTTGTTCAGATACATAACCACAAGTCCAAGCTCTGCTCTCGATACATCTAATAACGTAGTACTCGCCATCTTCTCTCTGATACACACACACACACACCAAAGAGACAACCTTTGTGAAAAGAGAGAGAGAGCAGAGAGCCTCTGTTTTTGTTTTTTTTTTTTGATCTTTCTCTGCTTTTATGTTTAATCAGGGAGATAGATAGAGCTTGTTTGGTCATCTTCGTTTCACTACAAACAGACAAAAACATCGCCGTTGGTCAGCGCAATGAGCTCCTCGATCCTTCATTCTAGACCGTCGATTAAGCTGACTCTATATGAATCAACCGTGTTTCTTCCACACTTGATTATACCTCTCACTCTGGTTGAGGATATCTCGCGCGTCCAAAGAACGACGTCGCACATATCTTTAGGAAATTTTAAAAATCCACTGTGACTTTTGTTGACATTGGGCCGTATAAAAGGCCCAATGGGCTTCTTAACATTAAAAACCCCGCTCTTCTTAACCGACAAAAACCGAAGTCGTTAGGGTTTTATAAAAACTGTACCTTGTTCACTTTTTGGTCTTTTAAACTGAACTAAGCCAGACCAAACCTGCTATTCTTCCTTCTTTCTCGATGGAGCAGCACAACAAGGATCAGGTTTTGTCGGAGAATAATAACAATAAGTGTCAAGATCCAAATCCAAGATTTACTTTCGAAGGTTGCAACGTTTTGCTCGACGTTAACGATGGTGACCGTCTCGTCTTCGCTCGCTTATCTGGTGGCTCGTGAGTCTTCTTTCATATTGATTCTCAAATTCCTCAATTCTATTTGTTTTTTTTTTTTAAATTTATTTATCTCTCTCTCTTTCTCTCTTTGTGTGTTGACAGTACATTAAAAATAGGGAATACGAAGTACTCGTTAAAGCCATTGATCGGAGCTCCGTTTGGATCTCTGTTCCAAGTCGAAACCGGAGAAGATGTTTCTTTCCTCTCTCGCATTCTTCCCGTCAAAAAAGAAGGTTTTTCTCTTTCTCCTAAACTCGCATGAAATATATTTTTTTGTATATTATAATGTTCTGGTTTTGATGTATTGAATTGATGTTTGCTAATCACAGAAAGTATTAGTAATAATGTTATCGAAGATTCTAGAGATAATAGGGAACTTATTGACAATAATGAAGCTCAAAACCTCACTGAAGAAGAAATTGAAACTATGCGGAGGTTAGAACAAGACTTAAACTCTCTCTCTGTGTTTATTATATAGAAGATGCGGTTTATACATTGATATAGTTACTAACTTCTTTGTTTTAATGTGTAGAGAGGGTGCAAAAGGAGATGAGATTATTGAAGCACTGATTGCAAACAGCAAAACATTTGACAAGAAGTTTCAGTTGTCTCAGGTAACATGTCTTTGTTCTATTTCTCTCTCCCTCTCTCTGCTTGACTTTGAATCTTTTTAAAAGTTTGGGTGACAGATTAACGATTTTTCTTGTTTTTTTTTTGCTATTTATAGGAAAAATATAAGCTCAAGAAGCAGAAGAAATATGCACCAAAGGTGCTTCTAAGACGTCCTTTTGCTCGAAGGTTTTTACTTTTTTTTTTCTGTCTCCTTTTGTTTTTTTTAGACTTCTTTCGTTTCTCTTATTCTTACCTCTGTTTATGTTGTTGCCAGTATCTGTGAAGCTTATTTCAAGAAATATCCAGCCAGAATCGGGTATGTATACTTTGTTTCCTTCTTTTAGACAACAACTGATAGATTTTATATTGATAGCTATTGTATTTTTTTGTAGATTCTTAAGAGTAGATGCGTTATCTCTTCTGTTGACAATGGCTAATGTCACCGCGTACTCGGATGTGCTTGTGGTGGATATGGTTGGTGGTCTTGTCACTGGTGCAGTGGCTGAAAGATTAGGAGGCACTGGTTATGTTTGTAATACATTTAAAGGAAACTCTCCTCCCTCTGTGGATATGGTTAAGATGTTCAACTTTACTGACAAGGTTATAGAGAGGATCGTGCAGTCATCTATAAACGACCTCTCATCAGCCAAAACTGTATTATCTCCTGAAGGAGGAGTTTGTAACGCTGAGATTAATATCAATGCAAGTTTCCAACCTGATCGTTTCTCTTGAGACTTTTTTTTTTTTTTAATGTATCTTCTGATTTTAACAAGAGGTTCTAATTGGGGAAAAAAAATGCAGGAATCATCTACATGTGATATAGTTGAAGATGTATCAGTGACAGCTGAGGCCAGAGTAGTAGATGATGTTGTCCCAGTGAGCAAAGTTATCAAAGCCCCAAAAGCTGGAGCCAAAGCTTCAAAAGAAGCAGTAGAAATGTGGAAAGAAAACGGTTTCTCTAGGTAAGTAATATGTATTATTACTGTTTCTCTATAACTGAGATTTGGGTTGGGTTCATTAAATGGTGTCTGATTTGCAGTTTAATTATGGCTGCACAAGACCAAGACCCATGGAGTTTAGCTAAAGATGTTCTGCCACTCCTCTCCTACTCTGCTCCCTTTGCAATATATCATCAGTATTTACAGGTATGTGTCATAAAAAACAAGAAAACTTTTCAGTATGTCTTGGTAAGAACGTAGTCTAATGATGATTATGAAAATTTCACAGCCTCTAGCGACATGTATGCACAACCTTCAGCAAGAGAAGATGGCCATCAATCTGCAAATAACAGAACCATGGCTACGCGAATATCAGGTGCTTACATCAAGAACTCACCCTCACATGCAGATGAGCTCTTTTGGAGGCTATGTTCTTAGCGGCACCAGAATCTCCACCACTTAGATTTTTATCTCCAAACCTCTATTCTTCTCTTTACCATTATCAATCACTGAGGTTTTGGTGTTTTTGATCTTTGTATTTGTTTGTTTGTTGAGATATAGAGCTCAGATTATAGAAAACTCTCACTCCTATTGTTCTGTTTTATACAAAATCTCACATTATAAAATGCACAAACCTAAATAATATCATCATCATATCATTCTTCTTGATCAATACCATTTGTCTCAAGTTTCATACAGGTTATGAAACATTACAACATACACAATATATAATAATATACTACATTATATAAGATCTGCCTTCATTTTCTACTAAAGAAACTTTTCAACTTCCCTTTCTCAATCCTCTCAAGAAGCTTCTTAGAACCAGGAACCTCCATCTCCACCAACTTCTTCAAATAACCAACAGCTCCATGAGCCACCATCAGCTTCCTACACTTCCTGCTCGAACACAAACCCGCCAAACACGAAACAGCATACTTCTTAGCCGAATTACTCGGACTAGGCTCAAGCAACATGACAAGACTCATCACACTCTTCTCATCTCTCTTCACCTCTCTACAATTCCTTGGAACCGTGACAAGACTCGCTAACGCTTGAGCAGCAACCTCTCTAGCTCCACCTCCTTTCGCTTCAAGCATTCTCACCAACAAAGAGATACAACCTGCCTCACCGATCATTCTCTTCGTCTCGTTCGATGTAGTAGCCATCCTGCAGATAGTAGACGCAGCCGCTTGTTGAGCTCCCACTGATCCTGCTTTGAGAACATGAACCAAACTCGAGACTATCTTCTCATAACTCTCGGTAGAAACAGAACCAACTAGGTTACGTATCGCTGCAACTCCTGATTCTTGAGGGAGTGGTCCGTCTAAGTAAGCGAGAAGAGTTTGAACACCGTTCTCTGACACAACCAATCTTCTAAGAGCTTCGTTGCTTGCAGTAAGATTCTGAAGACACTCAGCTGCGTATTCTTTAGACCCCAAAAGGATCCCACAGCTGAGTATATTGATCATAACTTTAACGATACCTTCTTCCGCAAGGTTTAGTCTCACTTCAGGAACAGAGGAGATGTTTTTTAGAGTACAAGTTGAAGCAGCTTGAGAAACAGAGTCCCCTGTTTTGCAAATCTCTATTAAAGGACTAACTCCTCCGTGGCCAACGATGGCACGTGACGTCTCCGATGAAAATGATAATCTCTGTAAGGAGATAACAGCTTTCTCTTTAGCTAATGAACTTCCTGATTCGAGAAGTCTTATCAACGGAGGCAATGCGTTCTCTGAGACAAGCCAGTTCTCGCATCCTCCTGATTCAGCTAATGAGCAGATCACAGTCACAGCGTTCTCTCTTACACTAGCTGCTGTCAGAAGCTGAACCAAAGAAGCAACATTGGTCCTACCTAGAGACGTTATAACACCTTTTTCATCGTCTTTCATTACCTCAACGAGAATCTCAAGCGCCTTGCGTTTTGACTCCAAGTGACCTATCTGAAGACGAGCAAGCAACTCTCTAACGCTGAACGTTTCAGAGTCTTCTTGTTGTGGCTGTGGAGTGACTTCGCTTAGGACGCCTGTTTTCATCAGCAGACCACAGTCTCTCAAGGAGAGATCGATTTTGGAAGAGAGAGAGTCGAGATTGCTCTGCATCTTGAGTTTCCCTTCTTCTTGCTTCTCTTGCACGCATACGAGCTCGATGGTTTCTTTCAAGGTTTGTAAAACGGTTTGAAGCTGTTCTCTGCAGAGAGTGTTTTTGGAGAAGCAAGGGTGGCTTGATAAATCTGATAAACATGTTGGGATCTTCTCTAGCCTTGAGATGATCACTCTCCACCTGGTGGTGAAGCCTTTGACTGTTCTTGCTTTGGATAAAGCTGTAGGGACAAGCTCTAGTGCCTGTGATAACAAATCTTCAACTATTTGATTCTCTTCCACCACCATGATCATCACCAAACCTTGAGTTCTGTTTCACCAAAGAAAGGAATAAAGTTTTAAGTTAAAAAGTAATGGAGAGTAGTTGAATGAGTGATGAAGAAGCTGGTAGATAGGTTATAAATAAAGACACGGATTTAATTTAAAAAAAAAACAAAAAGGAAGAAGCCATCAAAAAAGAGTTGTAGAGAATCTTGAATTTGATCACAGCAAAGCTTTTGATATATTTGCTGGAAAACAAAACCCTACCAGACAAAAAAAAATTTAACAAGTCATTTTCCTTTACTTGGCGTCGGTGTGAACATTTAATTGCTATAAAAGCTATAATGATAATGATAATAAATAAATGGAAGCATCATCCATCATCATCTTATTATATACAAGTATGAACAAATGTTTAAATGAAATTCATGGAATATTGAGGGAAAAAGACAAGAATACCCTTCTGAAGAACAATGGTAAGAGAAAGCTCCAAACACAAGATTGAAGATTAAGCTGGTTTAGAAGGAAAGAGAGAAAAGACTTTGATTCAAAGAGAAGATGTGAGTCTCTTTCAACAAATCGTGTGTTTAAAATTTTGTATGAACCAAACTCCACTAACACTATACATAAGTTTGGTGACAAATCCACAACTTGTCTTTACTGCAAGTTAAGATGAAAAACACTTTTTGTTTTCTTTAAACAGTTATCTTTGAGATTAAACAATAGTTACCTGGAAACAAAGATCTATGCTTGAGCTTCGCTGGGTTTGTCAAGCAAATGTTGTTGAAGAAAAACTTTTGAATTTCGAAACTGATTCAAAACAAAAGCGGCTTCTCGAAAATTTCTAGCTAATAATAGCACGCTCTTTCGGACAGAAGCTGTGTCAGAGTCGTTTAGTCAGCTTTAGATTTGTTCTGTCAGAAATAAACATAACGCATGACTTTTCTCATCGTATCGCGAGATTTTTCAAAATCGCCACGATCAAACGGCTCTGGTAGGACCTGAATCGAACGGTCGGGATAGTGATTAAAATTTTGAAATAGCTATAGTGATTAGCTGACGTGGATGTGTACCTAGTCTTCACGTGTGCGGAAGTCGGGAAGATTGCCCTTGTGTGGTCGATAAAATAACGAGAATGCCATTGGCTTTTAGGCATCGACTTTTGAGGGGGAGAAAGGAGAAAGTGTAGAGGGGACCGAGGCGCGTGAGGCTTTGTGGGCCTAGTTAACGTGCATGAAACGGCACGCACTTGTCTGCTGATGCTGTTGAGAGAGCGTCGGGGTTTGTGATTTTAATTAATGTATCATTAAAGGTCATTAATATCACTCTTTATGAGCTGATGATCATGAAGCCAAATTTTAATCATTTTGAATGTAAAATTAACACGATCGAAGTATCATTCATAAACCGCAGGCCCCCATGTCATTATGTTACTTTAATTAGAACTTGATTAATAACTTTTATTTTGTTATTTGATGAAGTGGCAACTTTGAAAGTTATCCATGCACGCAGACAAAAACATGTAAACTGTACTTGTAATACTTTTGCCATTCTCCAAAACAACAAGGGACAAGAACATGACATTGGTTTTGAAAAGAAAAATAAATCATTTTGATCGATTTTATGCTTGTTTGAAGCAGAGTGCATGCTCTCTCTTTGGTGGGCTCAACGATGCAAATGCCAATCTGATTTTGTTATGCTCTTGCCAAAAATGAAAATGTGGTCGACTCGTATCCGATCTACTATCGACTATCGTAAGTGAATATTAATCCTAAAGTAGTAAAGTGTGTTGACTTGTTCTACTCTACTAGTGTTTAATTCATTCATTTTATAATCCAAATTTGTATTCATCTATTGGCTTATAGCTTGGGAAGATGGAGGAAGGATCGTGACAAGAAAAAAAAAGGTTTTGACTAGCTCAAAAAACTCATCGAAAAATCATAAAGAGAACTCTAAGGAAATAGAAACTAATTAGGGAACAAATGTAACAGCACATGTTAAAGCAGCCTTGGCACTTCACTTCCTACGTTAACCAATGAGAACAAAACTCAATCTACAACAATTCTAAACCTCAAAACCAATACAAAAAGAGATGGTTTCCTTAAGATAGTGGGCTTTTTTACTTTTTGAACAATAGCAAACTGGGCTGAATACATACGGCCCATTATAAAATACTAGATAAGGCCCATTACGTTTTTCAATAAATTGATCCACATGTTAAAGAATGACTCATCGCAGCGTAACCGTTTGATTTAACAAACTGTAAATATCGACGGACAAGATTAAGTCTGCTAGTCTCCAGCAAACCAAGAACAGAAGAATAAACCAAAAAAAAAAAAAATCAGAGATAAAAATAAACGGTGAATGGGATTTTGATGAGTTGATCTAGAGAAATCTCTGTGAAACAAAACAAACTTCAATTGATTTGGTTGAAGGTCTTGAAATGGAAGCTTATAAACAATGGGTATGGAGAAACAGAGAGTATGTACATTCCTTAGGATCTCTTGCAAACGTAAGCAAAGATTCCTTCCTCTTCTCCCTCTAATCAATCTATAATCTAAATTTCACTATTAGTTACTTGATTTGATGCGATAGTGATTATTGAGTAATGATTATTATTTGGGTGTGTGCAGGGATTGACATGGCTGCTTCCTGAGAAGTTTTCTGCTTCAGAGATTGGACCCGAAGCAGGTTTTTTTATGTGATTCTTTTGGTAACCATTTTTTTTTTAATTTTGTAACTGCTTAGAAACTCTCAGTTACTAGTCTTGTTAGAGCATGATTAACCCGGTGTTCGTAAGATGAATAACCCGGTGTTCGTAAGATGGGGTTCTTAGCGGAAATTAAGAAACTGTTTTTTAACTTTTAACTAAAGAAAAGCTAAGAACCGGTTTTTAAATAAGGACTTAACCAGTTCTTAGCTTATTTAGTTAAAAATTAAGAAACAGTCCTAACAACTCCGGGTTAATCATCGTGTTAGCTCATTTTTAAGTGTCTTTCTATTCACTTGTTTAGCTCTCACATGTTTAGTTGCTTAAGTCTTTAATTAAAGAATGTGTGTCTTTCTTCTGTGTGCTTATCCGGAAGTGTGATGAGAGTTTTTGGATAATCTTGTCTACAGTTACGGCTTTTCTAGGAATATTCACAACCATTAATGAACACATTATTGAAACTCTTCCAACATCTCCTGCTCATGTTAGAACTTCCGGGACTGATTCATCCCTTTCTTATCCCTTACTCATCTCCATCCTCAAGGACTTGGAAACCGTTGTTGAAGTGGCTGCTGAACACTTCTATGGAGATAAAAAATGGAACTTCATTATCCTCACTGAAGCTATGAAGTAAGTTACTATTCTTCTTATCCACTTTGGATTGAGACGCAGACACTAGAAGATACACTTACTTAGTTAGGCACGGTAAAATTTTCAGGGCTTTCATTAGGTTAGCTTTGTTACGGAATACTGGATATAAGATGCTTCTTCATGGAGGGGAGACACCTAATGATGACAAAGATCCTAACCAACCCCAGCTTCAAAATAGACCTGCTACTTTTGATAGGAATCATCAATTTGGAAACCAATATAATCAATGGAATTTGGAAGGACGTGCAATGTCAGCTTTGAGTTCATTTGGTCAGAATGCAAGAACATCACCAACAGCATCTTCTACTACCTCTGGTTGGTCTCGTAGGATTCAACACCAGCAAGCAGTTATAGAGCCTGTAGTGAACAAGGAGAAGCGAAGAACTCTTTCCGAGCTAGTATCTGAGAAGGGTGTTAAGGGAGCGTTTTTTGTAATTGGTGAAGTTCTTTTCATAACAAGACCGTTAATCTACGTTCTTTTCATCAGAAGATATGGAATCCGGTCTTGGATTCCTTGGGCTATATCCCTCTCTGTGGACGTCCTGGGAATGGGGATTCTTTCAAATCTAAAGTTGTGGGGGGAGCAGAGCAAGCAAATCAATTTCTCTCAGCCTGAAAGAGACGAGGTTTGTTATATCTCAAAACCTTAATTACATCAAATGTTAAACCAGTTTAACTTATATATTCCTTGTGTGTTCTGTTCAGCTTAGAAGACGGAAGATGTTATGGGCATTTTACCTCATGAGAGATCCATTTTTCACCAAGTACACAAGGTGAGTGTGGGAAGTTAACATATCTCTCTGTTCTGCTTTGGTTTCAGTCATGGTTTGCTTTGACTATACGTATATGTAGGCTTTATAGTTAAATAATAAACCGATGTGCTTGTTGGGCGAGTGCAGGCAAAAGCTGGAAAGCTCTCAAAAGAAGGTGGAACCAGTTCCATTGATCGGTTTCCTCACAGGTTTGCTTTTATTACATTCACAAGATATTCTTTATCATTGACTTTCTTACATGTTCTCTTTTTATCTCCTGAATTGCCAGAGAAAATTGTGGAGCTTTTGGTGGGAGCTCAGTCACGGTACACTTACATATCAGGATCTTGAGGTTTAACCCTTTTGTTGGAGTGGCTTGTTCGATCTCAAAAGGCTCGTAGGGAATGTTTCAGTCTTTGTAAGAAGTTGCGTTAATTATTGCAGTTAGGACATAAAGATTTAGTTTGATTATGAGCTGGTTATGTCTAAACAATGGACCCATACCAATAAATGAAACAATACGTCAAAGTTATCATGAGATCGATCGTTCACACGTTATTACAAGGTGGAAGTGTCAGGTTCATTACAATTGTTGAACTCAAGAGTATGTTATTCACTTTGTGTAAACCACTAAAAAAAATCCAAATGTATTCTGCTGACGTGATGCTATGCTTATTGATTGGTAGGCAAAAGTTGGTGGGGGCTAAACCGGCATAACCGGTGTTATGTCTGTATTTTTGATTGGGTTTACTTCGGACACGGTCCGTTCATTTATTGTAAAAAAAAGTTGGCAGGGGATGTGGTGGGGTCCGAAAAATTGAGGCTTTTGCCTTCAACATTGTGTGGGTGTGACCAGCACTGGAGAGTAGGGTCCAGATCAGGCCCTCTTTAACCCGTTTTCGTTTCTTAGCCTTATCTTTTGTTGTGGTAGGCCCCGTTGTCTGTTCATTTGTTTGGTAATGGTTCGAACCGGTTTAGAGTTTCTATACCTTTCATAGATTATATGAATCATATTGAAAGCGAAACTAGTTTTGTTTTGGTACTGTTAAAGCTCTACTTTTCATAGATTATATGAATCATATTGAAACAAGTTTTGATTTGGTACTGTACTAGCTCTAATTTTCATCTATTCAAACCTTTTTTTATTTTAATTATTATTCATATACAAAGGTTTAACTGGTAGTGAAAAGGACGATAGGATTTTAGAATCCAGGAAAGGATTATTCCAAAGAAAAAAAAAGCTTTATTTTGGTGGAGCAGCCTTGTGACCTACATGAATGGGGTCCAACCCCAAGTATGGGCGTTTAGCTTTTTCTATAAAGAAATCTTTTTTGTCCTGTCCAATAAAAATTCAACGGTTATAAAAAGGTAAATCTGACGGCTGATAATTAAAAATGGTCGATAGAAATTTTATGATAAGCTAATGAAATTACTGTGGGAAACACTTTCCGTTCGAGTTTTGTTATTCCATGTGGTTTAATTATTAACCAAAATTGTATTGTTATTTGATGTAGTTTTGCTTCAGTTTAGGAAGTATAAAAACCTCTATGCTGAAAATTAACCTATAGATTTACTGAGCAGTAGTAAAAACTTGTTATAGGAAATAAAGCAACTGGACCCCAGTGGACAGATGGTCCCATAAAAGCTGATAGAAGATTGAACAACTGAAGGGGATCGATCCACGTGGTAGTATCCCAATGGCTCAGAAAAGCTCAATCCAACAAATCGGAACCGTTGATTTTTCCCAGATCAATAAAAACGAGTCAGTATTCTCACCGTCCTTCTTCCTATATATAGACGACTCACATTTACTTTCTCCTTCGACGTGTAACGCCGTTAAAACGATTCCTTCCCAGAGTATCCGCTTCTTTTTTTTTTAAATCATTGTCGTTATCTCCACCGTCTGTTTTCCCTTCCGCTATAAATTTTCAATGGCGACGATTAAGAAGCTCGAAGATGAACGACTAAGAGCCGTTGATCTAAGCACCATAAACGGCGTCAGAAACGTGGAAACTTCTAAACTCTTTGAAGTGAACAACAACACAGTTCCCAAGACGGAGCCGTCGTCGTTAGAGTCTCCGTCGCAGCAAGTTCCGTCTATTTCAATGGCTTTGGCTCCACCGAGACCACCATTGAAGAGAGCTTCGACTAAAGACCGTCACACCAAGGTCGAAGGTAGAGGGAGGAGGATACGGATGCCCGCCACGTGTGCGGCTAGGATTTTTCAACTTACTAGAGAGCTTGGTCACAAGTCCGACGGCGAGACGATTCGGTGGCTGTTGGAGAACGCGGAGCCGGCGATTATCGCCGCCACGGGTACGGGAACGGTTCCTGCCATCGCTATGTCGGTTAACGGAACGTTAAAGATCCCAACGACGACGAACGCTGATGCTGACGTGGCAGATAATAATAACCCGGCGAAGAAGCGACGTAAGAGACCTTCTAACAGTGAGTATATAGACATAAACGAAGCTGTCTCGGTTTCGGTTTCTTCCGGTTTAGCACCCATTTCTTCCGGTTTAGCCCCTATTTCTTCCGGTTTAGTACCTATTTCCTCCGGTTTAGCGCCTATTTCATCCGGTTTAGCTTCTTTAACGACCGTGGCTCAACAGACCCTGCCGCAAGGGATGATTCCGATGTGGGCGATTCCATCAAACGCGGTGATTCCGGGTGTCGGAGCGTTCTTTCTTGTGCCACAAGTCACCGGTCCGACGAACCAGCCTCAGATGTTAGCTTTTCCGGCTGCTTCGTCTTACGTCGCCGCCGTTCAGCAAGCTTCTTCGATGGCTAGACCACCTTTTCCTCATATCGTACCGAGCGACGGCGTCGTATCAGTTCCAGACGTTACATCAGTTATGGCGCCAAGCTCAAGCTCCGGCGTAACGAACAGAGGTTCGTCGTCTACGACAAACATGCTGAGAGACTTCTCGCTAGAGATTTACGAGAAACAAGAGCTTCACCAGTTCATGTCTACAACAGCACGGTCATCCAACCACTGACGAAACGACGGTGTATTGGTGATCAACGGGCACGTGACCACGTGAGGGAGGGAAGTAAAGACGCGCACGTGTTAAGTGGGGCTAGTTATTTTTAGGCAGAGGTGGGGGGTCCACGTCGTTTGGTGGGTCAACACGCACCAAAACCAAAAAGCAGAGAGGGGGGCTCTGGCGAGTGGGGGGGGAGGAGGGAGAGTGGGCCACACAGTTCCCACCTTACGCATTACTTCCGAGGCGGCCAGGTTGGGGTGTGGTCCCCGTTTGGTAGGGCTACGTGGTCCGTTTTGGTGGGCCTCTCCTCACCACTTTGTCTTGACTTTTTGGACTTTGATTTTTCGCTTTGGAAAATACAAATATTTATATATTTGCCATAACAAGGATTTTATTGAAGCTGGAAGCCCTGTAATAATATCAAGTCATGGACCACCCAACAACAATTGTGATATTGATGTTTTCATTTTTAATCTGTAATCATATAGTAAGTGATATATTTTTTTTGAATAATTTGTTTAAGCATTTCCTTTTTAGATAATTCGTTTTTTTCTACAAGTGTAAAAGCTTTACTTTATTATTTCCTTTTGATTTTTTCCAAAAAAGTCTCATCCGTGTCTAAATATTGGCGGGGCCAAGTAGCTTGCTTGTACCACTAATACGGCTTCGTCTCGTGGGGCCTAAACCTTCCCACTCAAGGACGCGAGTTGGTCACCACCACCGGTGTTTAAAGCTAAAAAAATATAAAAAAGAACAGGCTGGCGTGGGTCACAGCTCTGTCGATCAGATCATAGCCGTTCATTTGCATATTCTCTCATCAAGTCCTACCCGTTGATTATATTTTCTTTACTTCATTGGTTCATATTTTATTCGCGTCTCAGCGCCATACACGATTTACTACGACAGGATATTTTTTTTATTAACGTCTGGTAAGAAGCCTGGTTGTAACCATGATTATATATAATTTTAAAATGTGTTTTGAAGATCGTAAATTATTTTTCTTTTAAAGAGAATTATTGGAGGCCCAAACCATCATGGTGGATGGGGGGATAAAGTTCCAGAAGAGTTGGCTATAGGAGTCTCCACGTGGATTTGACATATCGCTCTCTTGATTTATTTCAGTGGACCTCTTCTTTTCTTATGAAGCTTTAGCTTACAAATTGAAACATGTGCTTACTTTAAAATTCGAAAGTAAAATCGGTCCAAACTATAAAATTTAATTTAAAACAAAGTGAAATTTATGATTTGTTGCTTGCTTGACATGAAAGAATTAAGCCCAAAGAAAGAGAGAAAAATAAAACAAATAAGTTGTATGTGCATAACATCCAGGTCCAATATCTTTCTCAAAAAAAAAGAAAAACACATCTAAGTCCAATAGAACCAAGAAAACTAACGTTTATATATCAAATATTTAAGGCCCATTATTTTGCAGTCCCGAGCTATACACCTAGCGTACTTGACATACATTCCAAACACGCTATCATTATTGGCATGTCGGCCTAATACATCCAGTTAGGGGTTGACAAGGACTTCTTATTTGTAAAGTTTCAGATACTATCTCCTTTTATGTCGCCGGCTTTTTCTTCTGTTTTTGGGCTTTAGTTTCAGATCATAATATCTCTTTTAGTTTCATTAATAAGACCTAAGATAAATTCTTGTTCTGAGTAGCCTTTATGGTATTGGGGGGGGGGGGGGGGGG